TTTTTGCAAGTAGATATTCTAATTTGGATGCAATACTCTCCTTTCTCCTTTTGCTGACTTCTTAGCAGGCATGAATTGAAATCATAGAATCCTTAGAGTTGGAAGGGACCTCTGAGGGCCATCCAGACCAATTCCCTTGCAATGAGCAGGGACACCACAGCTAGATCAGGTTGCCCATGGCCTGATCCACTGGCACTTCTTTAGGGACATGGTTAGTGGGCATGGTGGTGATGGGTTGATGGTTGACCTAAATGGACTTTTCCAGGCTTAATGATTCTACAATTCTGGGCTGTATGGAGCAGTCAAGCAGGAGCAGACTGCTCAGGGGTCCTGTGCCATCTTGCCCTTCTTGGGGGCTTTCAGGACCCAAATGGGCAGAGCCCTCTGTCTGGGTGGATCTACCAAATTCCAGAGTGGTTCCAATTGAGTTCTTGGTCAAAAACACTAGTGATAGAAGTCAACACTTTAGCCTCATTTTCCAAGAGTAGTTATTATCTCACAGGCCTCACAGCACAGCTTTCCAAAGAACTTGCTTCAGTTTACCTAACGTCTCACATGCTAGCACAGTTCAGAAAGTCGTGAGAGATGCTGTATTACACACAGTCGAAACAACACACACACAAAAAAAGGGAAAATTGAAAATCCAGGTGCTGCTGCGGAGTGCCCTCTGTTCCACCCCCATACTCAGAGACGAGGGAACACCACTTGCTGCTTCTCGTCGGCAGCAACCGATATTGAAGCTCGGCTTCTCCTCCGCCCCACACGCCGTGGGTCGGGCAGGGCGGACATCAGCCATCAGCCCTCCCTTTGTCACAGCTCGGGCCCCCCTGACCGCCCCGTGTCGGGCGCATCGATTCGATCCGGCGGGCGCGATTCTCCGCCGCGTTCCACAATGGAGAGCCTTAAGCGTGACACACGCGCACACACACAGAATTAACGTGGCTTAGCACCACAAAGCATCCCGGCCGGAATCGCGCGTCGGAAAACTTTCTGCTGATAGCAGAAAACGTCGCTCGGGGTGAAATATTTCCCCGCTGACGGAACGCTGGGGTTTTTACCCGAGTTAACCCCCAAGCTCTCGGCTCGACGAGCCGGAGGTCCCGCTCCCCGCCGGGCGGGGTGCGTTGGCGGCTGCCTGGCGGCGAGCAGGGAAGCCCGGGAGCCGCCGGGCGGAGGAACGAAGCCTGGCCGCGGCCTTCCAGCGCGCCGGCCCTATCGCCGCCACCCCCCGGCCGCGAGGCCGCCGGCAGCCGTGCCGCCGCTCACACGTGGGGCACGGCCGGCCCCGCCGCCTCCCTGCCCCCTCCCGGCTCCCCCCGGGGAGCTGACAGCCGGCGCGGCGCCCGGCGGCGGGGTGGGGCGGCGCCGTTACCTCGGCCTGCTTGCGGACCGCATTGTCCGGGCTGAGCAGGTTGCCCAGCAGGAGGTAGAACTGCTGCTGCTCCTGCTCTGCCGCCGTCGCCGCCATTGCTGCGAAAGGGAAAGAGAGGGAGGCCGGGCGGGCGGGGACAGGGAGGCGGGCGGGGAGGGGCGGGGGAAGCCGGCCGCGCTGCCAGCCCAGCCGGGGAGGGGGGAGAGGAGGAGGAGGAGCAGCCGGCACGCTTTCTCCCTCCGGGGCCGGCCGTACTCTCCTGCGCTCCCATTGGCTGGAACGCGCGGGGCTTCGCCTCCCATTGGCTTACTCTTCTGTGACGTCCTAGCCGTGACTCGCGCGGCGGGGGAAGAGCGTCCGGACGACGTCCCAAAATGGGGGGCGTGACTCCTCGCCTTTAATTGCTGCGTCTTCGGGCCGGGGGCGGGAGGCACAGGCGGGAAAACGCCCCGAGCTGCGTTCCGATTGGATGGCGCCCCTGACGGTCTCGGCAGGATTGGTCAGAGGCGCGGTCGGGCGGTGCGAGTAGGGAGGGGCCGCGGCGGAGAAGGGGGGGGGTTGGGAAAGCGCGGGAGATCGTGAGTCGTCTGCTGGCCTGGTCTGTGACGTCACGTGACCCAACCCCCGCCTGCTGGGCGCGTCTCGGCCCGGGGTGACGTCGGGGCGGGAGTGGGGCGGGTCTGAGACTGTGGCTGGGGTGATTAGGAGGCGGCTGGATAAAGGCGCTGCTCTGAAATAGTGGCGTAAATCATGCGTTTGAAGCACTCGAGCAAATTTGTATTCCCTGGGGTCTGAGCTGCGAGTAGAACGTATTTATGTCAGTGTCTCATCCAACCCACCTGCTTGCTTCCTATGCATGTTTTTATTTGGGTCCCACTCTGATACTCCCAAGGGTGTGCTGCTGTTCTGATTAGGCCAAAGTTACAGCTTATCTCAAGGAACTGCAGTAGGCTGCATTCCTGAATTCCAGCTGTCATCAAATCAAGGTTGGAAAGGACCCAGATGATGATGTAGGTTCTTTCCAACCTTATTCTATGATATGCGATGACTCGGGTTAGAAGGGACCTTGATCATCCAGTTCCAGCTACCCCAACGGGTTGCCCCCCACCAGCTCAGGCTGCCCAGGGCCCATCCAACCTGGCTTTCAGTGCCTCCAGGGATGGGATACCACAGTTTCTTTGGGCAGCCATGCCAGTGCTTCACTGCCTTCTGAGTTACAAATGTTTCCCGTAACATTTAATCTAAATGTCCCCCCTTTTAGTTTAAAGCTGTTCCCCATTGTCCTATCACTATCTACCCATGTCAGAAGTTGATTTACCTCTTGCTTATAAGCTCCCTTCTAGAACTGTAATGAGGTCTCCCCAGAGCCTTCAAAAATCCAGGCTGAACAAGCCCAGCTGTCTTTGTAGGGGAGGTATTCCAGCCTCCCCTGCCTTGCTAGCCACCCTTCTTTGGATAAAGCCCTGGAATGTGGCTGATTGAAGCATAGTTAGTAAGCCCCATGTTAACTTGGGGTATTTGGTTCATGATGTGCATATCTTCAGGCTATGACTGTTGCCCAGCTTCCTGGGCTTCTTGCTTGGTAGCATGCTGGCAAACTGCTTGGGACCTGGTGAGCTGGTGGGGCCTGGTTGAATGGCTGGACAGCCCCCGGGTAGGCAGTGCAGCTGGGCCGTGCCTGGGGATGTGGGCTTTCACAACAGTAGGGAGCAGCCCACAGACTGTTCAGAAAGAGATAGGAACTTCTTCATGATATGATTATGGAAGATCTGTGAGCAGAGCTGGAGAATAAGCTGACTGAAAGCTCAGACAGATGCAAAGTGAAGATGAATTAGAAAAGCAAGCATGCAAAACACAGTTGCCAAATCATCTTTGTTGGGCCAGTGCTGAAAGACTCGGAGCTCCCTCAGGAGGGGAAGGTAGGAGCAACTCCATGCAATCTGTAAGACAAAGCTGAGGAAGGAGGTCTCTCTACATGTGTGTATGATAAATCAACGAAGCCAGGTAGAACAGTGCTCTTGGAATGTGTTTGAATACATTTCTCCAGAGTATCCAAAACACAGAAGGGGAAATCACCACCGAGTTGAGAATAAGCTGAGAAGAACCCAGCATATCATTGCTGTTCAGCCTAAAACACTACCAGAATTTGGTGATATCTGATTGAAAGCTTCATATGGGTAGAAACTAGCTAAGGTATTGGAAAGCATCTCAAGGAGTTTGAAATGTCAGTAGTGCAGTGTAATCAGAGAGTCTGCCAAGTCAGTTGCTCCTTCTCACTTGGGGCAAGTTCAAAGCTCAAGTGCAAGAAGCTGCCAGAAACTGTGCTAACAAAGCAGGTATCAGCTCCAAAGATGGTTTGAAATCGCACTTGAGAAGAGCTCAAACAGATGCAGGCACAAAACACAGCAGTGCTGGTGCTCTTGGACGTTGCCCAGCTTCTGCAGTCTGTCTCAATTAAACTAAGGAAAAAGACAGTACAACTACTGAAAAGTATTTCACGTTTTGGAAGAAAGGAGGATGCTCATTAAATAGCAGAAGTCAGAGTACAGTGACCTCTTGTAACAGCCTCGTCTGAAGAAGTGTGTAGCTTATCCAAAGAAACTTCATTGGTGTTTTAAAACTCTGCTGGCAGATGAAAAAATTGGAAATTCACATCCTTGGAAAGCAATAACTTTATGGAATTGTCTGTTAAACTTCACATCTCTGCTAACAAATGGATTATTAAGAGGGAGAGCTGGGAGACAATGGTTTTATTATACCTGAGAAATGCTATAACATTTATGCCAGAGTAATAGGAGGTGTGGGATAACAGGCAATATAAGGAAAGGTGTCTCTGGCTGTTGCAAAACATTTTCTGATACTGATTTGTATGGGAAGTGTTTGGTGACTGTTTGATATATGGTAATTTTCAGAAGCAAAGAATGAGATTAAGGGGAAATGGATACATGTCTGAAAGGAAGATAAAGCAAAATAAATCCAAACCTCGTTACTAGGTATAGAATGTCTAGAATCCTTAAGATGTTCATCCGTATCAGATCTACTATCATTGTAAAGTGCCTGTTTATGGTCAATATGGACCATGAATCACAAAAAACAACAGCCTTGATATCCTGAGAGGCCCAGGAAGAGATTGAAAAGTTCGTGAAGGCAGATTTTCAACAAAAGTCAAACAGAGTGAGTTGACGTCAGCAGCAAGCTATGTTCCAGTGGGGGCTGGCTGAAGCTATCTTGGCACAGAGCAATCTGTTCGTTAAGAGGACGCAACATCTGAGTGTTGTGCTGGCCAAAATGCAGGGTAAGGTAAGGAACTACAAGCCTGTCTGTAATGAGATGACAGGATTCACGCATCCTTCATTCATCTATTTCTTGTACTCAGAGCACGGGGATGGGAGGAGTTCCTGTTCAGTAATAGACTTGGCTTTGGGCTCTGGATGTACTGCTGTTGCTGTAGTGGGTGCTCAACTAGTGTTGGCAGTGTTTCTGTGAGAAAACTGCTCTCATCCATTTTATTGTGGGTTTTTTTTTGCTTTTTTTTTGTAGGAGTTACAGATCATGTAAAACACGTGATGACAGAGATTATGTTCTTTCAACTCTTTATAGAATCATAGAATCATAGAATGGCTTGGGTTGGAAGGGACCCCGAGGATCATCAAGTTCCAACCACCCTGCCATAGGCAGAGGCACCAAGCTCCAAATCTGGTTCTAGACCAGGTTGCCAAGGGCCCCATCCAATTATTATATCCAATTATTGCATCCAATTATATTATATATATATATTTATTTATGTATATATTTGTATTATATTCCTTAACTCTTACAAGATACTCCAAGAAGCTCTGGCACATAGCTTCTGCTGATTTGCTGCATTGCAAAGGTGCAGCTGGGCTTGATGAAGGTGATACAACCATGCCTAGAGGAGAGCTGATAGGAGTACCAGGTGACAAGGGTGTTGGGAGTCTGGAGGAGTGCCATCAGCCTCTAATGAGATACAGAATTCTTGAGTGAGAACTTTCGAGAGTCATTAGATGTTAACAAGCATGATGACAAGGTAGAGAGACTTCACAAGCAAGTTATACTGCAGATCCTGTACTTTAAGGATTTAAAATGCTGTTGTATTTATCAAAAAGATTTGAGCATTATGTAGAGCTGGCAATGTGGCAACTCAGACTTCTCTGCCAGATTTACTTGCTGAAAGTCAAATATCTCTCAAAAGATATCTGACTGAGAGACTTTTGCTCCACTCAGCAGAGTTTGTGGAGATTTCTATGGGTATCAGGTGTCATTTTCTGATAGACCACATACGACTGATAAAGCAGTTCATACTAACCTTGCCAAAGACCACCAGAGCGTACAGAATGAAGTCTACTTGGCTGGGATAACCTGTGGATATGAGTGACTACTCAAACAGGGGTTTACTCACTGACCATTTTACTGAAGAGCAGTGGAGTGGAAGAAGTGGAAGACTTCTTTTTTTGGGGGGGCGTGGATTTCATAAAACCCCACACTGACTTATCATAAGGCAAGATGGATGTTTGAACGAACAACATGAGTACCAGGTGCTGCTAACCTGCTGAACTTGCAAATTGCACAGGAGAAAAATGTATTTGCATTTATCAAAAACATGGACTTTTATGTTCAATGCAAGACCATCCGATTTTATCAATTTAGGAGACAGCTTTCCAGCATTATGAAATGAGTGTTCATAGGACCACATGATTTGATACATTAACAGTGAGGTGGAGAAAAATGCAAAAATAACCCATGATGTTTGAATTGGAAAAAAAGAGAAAATATTCAGTTATGATTCCAAATAAGCTTATAATGGCAAGGGTTGGTAAGGAGGGACATAACTACTCTCTGAGACACTAAAACACAGGGGATCTGCTTTCACCAAAAACAAAGGAAATGGTTAATTGAAGAATTTCCGTCTTATAATTAATATGGATATTCTATAATTCAGTGATTACAGCGAAGACTTCTGGATGAATTCAGTGGTATTGTTACTTCTTTAACGACAGTCTGTCAAAAGTGTCAGTCTAACAAGTTGGTCTGCACAAAGCCTTTTCACAGAGGCTTTGAGCAGTGTAAATAAGCTTTCTGACATCCCCTGTGTTAGCATAGACCACTAGAACCATGTGCCAGTGCTAGGCATGCAGGTCTGTGGATGATGCTTTTCCTGACTTGGAAAGGGAGCGTCACTCTTAAAATCAAGAAATGATCATGAAGAGAATTACTCCAAAATGAGTGTGTTGCTGTTGTGTGGGCTATTAGATGAAATGCAGTTTCCTCAATCACAAATTCAGGCTCCTCAGGGAATGAACAGCAGTGAGATTTTTGTCAATGTCTCATAATACCCACAGTAAGTGCCCTTTATCCCTTCAGGGCAAAGCTTGACAATCTTAAAATTAATTCAGTATGAAAGAATGTAGTTTTGAATGAGTGAATGTTGGCAGGTCTTATTACGTTTTTATTTACTTGGCAACTCTTTGTGCTTGAAGCATCTTGCCAAGTTGCATGGGAACAGGCAGATCTACAACCATTTTGATACATTTCTGTTAGTCACCCACTACCCTTTTTTACTGAATAGCATGCTTCAGAAGTAAGCAGAATGAAAACAGAGGGTTTTTTTTTTTGGTTGGTTTTTTTTTTCTGAGATAATGAGCAAGATATTGTGCAGTACCTGCTTTGCTCCTGCCAAAATTTTTGTTTGCCTACAGAAAAAAAGTGGAAGCTCTGTGATGTACCATGACTAACTTAGCTGCACTGCTTTATGTGTGGCATTTTATCAGATATTATTCAGAAGCCATGAAAGATCATGAAAATCATTGTGAAAAGACATCACTACTGTATTTATGCTGATTTGCCTGAAGATTTGGCTGATTCTGATTTAGTGCTGTACAACTCCCAGCCTCTCTATGTGTGGGAGAAAAGAGATTGCTGAACGATAAAAATTCAACCCTTTTTGCTTTATTGATAGAAAAACAGACCTCTCTGGAGAACTCGATTTTGTAATTGTTTGTGCATTAGGCAGAACATTAATTGGTTTGGCATGTTAGTTGACTTATAATTGGGAAGTCTATTGGAAGGAAGCATATTCTGTAAGCACATAATTACAGACAGTACCTTTCCAAATTACTAAGATTTACATGCCCCAGGCATGCCTGGAATGTTAAATTTCATTTATTCTATGCTTTATATTGTAAATCTCTTGCTTTTTTTTTTTTTTTTTTGTGTGTGTGTGTGTGTAAAATAATGCATTTGTCACAACTTTCTGGAGTTGATCTGCTGTTCTCTGATGATAGTGACAGGTCTCAAGGAAACAGCATGGAGCTGTGTCAGGAGAGGGTCAGGTTTGGGGTTAGGAAGAGGGTGTTTGGGCCCTGGAACATGCTTCCTAGGGCAGTGGGCATGGCCCCAAGCTGCCTGAATTCAAGGAGCATTTGGAAAATGCTCTCAGACATAGGGTTTGGATTTTGGGTGTTGCTGTGTGGAGCCAGGAGTTGGACTTGATGATCCTTATGGGTCCCTTCCAACTCGGGATATTCTGTGATTCTAACCTGTTCCAACTCACCTCTGGAAGAACACTTTTGGACCTTTAGATTAAAGAAGACATTAATTAATGAACTCAAATTTTAAACTGCCAATATTTACGAGAGATTAAGGAAAACATGAGAGCATGAGTCAGCGTAAAGAAGCACTAAGTAACCCAGAAGAAAAAAAGGAAGGAGATTCAATCAGTTGGTCAAAATCTTTGGCAAGCAGGTGGAAGGATGTATGCACACAATATAGGTAGAAAATTAGTTATGATTCTGTAAAGTGATGGAGTAGCAAAAATAGCAGTATAATTTTGGGTTGCTGCAACAGGAGCTTGAGTGGAGAGATGGTTGTTGCTGGGGAAGCACCACCTCCTGTGATCAGAGGAAAGTGGTGAACATAAGCACGAATTACAAGTTGTGTATATGGCACTTCTGTTCCCTTTGATGAAAATTGATTGTGCTTATCACAGTAAAGACTCTGGCCTACAATTAGGGGGCCAAGAGCAAGCAGTTAAGAGGAAAAGCTAAAAGAGATAATCAGTAATTACCATGGTATGTATTAAAAACATGAATTATGCTGTTGAACTTGAGTTTTTAAATCTTCCTTGAAATTCTTTGATCCTATGAGGCCATGCATGCAGGTAACTGTACTGTAATCACAGAATTACAGAACTGTAGGGGGTGGAAGGGATTTCCACAGATCAAGTCCAGCCCCTCTGCTAAAGCAGGTTCCCTATAGCAGGATGCACAGATAGGCGTCCAGGTAAGTCTTCAATGTCTCCAGAGATGGAGAATCCATAACCTCTTAGGCCAGCATGTTCCAGTGCTCTGTCACCCTCCCTGTGAAGAAGTTCCTTTGAAAGTTCCTATGCTCCAGTTTATGGCCGTTTCCCTTTGTCTTGCCCCATAGACAGCTGAAAAGAGGTTGGCCATATCTCCTTGACTCCCATGCTGAAGATACTTAAACACATTAATCAGATCCCCTCTCAGTCTTCTTTTCTCAAGGCTGAATAGGTCTCTCAGCCTTTCCTCACAGGGGAGATGCTCCAGGCCCTTTATCATCTTTGTGTCCCTCTGCTGTCTTTTTTGTATTGGGGAGCCCAGAACTGGACACAGTACTCCAGGTGAGGCCTCACCAGGGCAGAGTAGAAGGGGAGGACCTGCTGGCCATGCTCCTAATGTTGATATTGTTGATAAATAATAAAATAATAAAAAATATTAATAATAATTTATAATAGTGATAATAAATAATAATGTTGTTTAAAAATCTGAAATTTGTTTGCACGGAGAACCTTAACTTCAGTATTTTCAAAATCCTGAGTGCCTGACTTTATGAACTTGAACTACCATAAAAAAAATAAATTGAAATATGTGTTCTGTGACGTTCAGGCAGGATATGGTAAAGGTATGGCCTTGTCTTTGACTTGGCTTTCCAGTGAGTGAGTACCTCTGTGTTCTCCAGGTACTAGGGATTAGTTCCAGCTGCCTGGCCAAAGCCAGCTCCAGGCGTACTATTGCAGAGCAAAAATCCTGCCCAGTAGAGCACTACAGGATTATCACTCTTATCAGCATTTTCAGGATATTTTCTCATAGAAGTTGTAACAAGTCTTTAGTCAGCATTCATATTGTGACTTTTTTTTTTTTTTTAAGGTTGACCAATATTTTGGAAGCTAAGCTAATTTTTTTTTTTTTTTTCTCCACAGATAGTTGCCATACAATTGCATTAACAAATTTCCCCTGCTGAAATTTCAAGCCCTTCCAAACAGGCATGCCTCAAAGGAAAACTGGTAAGAATTTGTTGAGGTCAAAGCAAAATGTCCTTTAGTAACATTCTTGGAAAAATCAAACCGTTCAGTATGAAATCAATCCATGTGGTTGAAACGAAGATGGAAAATATTGGTATCTAGAGTGTGATAAAGCTAAAGAAGTGGTAGGTGTGCCACTGTGCTTGTATCGTGCTTTAATTACCTTCTTGCTTAGAAGATGTTTAGTTAGGACATGTCATACAATGTTGTCATCTTCCAGCTATCTTCCACTTACGGCATGCCATTCTTGCCTGTGGCTCTTGGGTCTCTTAGACACAGAGTATGAGATGGCATTGGTTCCAGTCACTTACTTTTCATTATCCCTTAGAAACTGAAAGTTGCTCCCAAAGAAGAATGAAGGTCAAATCTTTTAATTAAAAGATTTGATTTTCTTTTTTTTTTTTTTTTTTTAAACAGGGATGGAGAACAGTCTGCAAGACATCCTGAGCTCCAAAGAGTTTCAGTCTAATCTAGTTCAGATTTAATTTAGTTCTAATTGCCCTGAATACTAAACTTACCTTAGAAGGCTAGAAAGTACTTTATTTTTCTTGTCACTTTTAGCTTTCCAACACTGCATTTCTCTACTTCTTTTTAATCAAATAAATCTCACATATGCTATGCATAGTATATGTATCTGTATTCTTTGCTCTTTTGTTGAATTTGTTTGGAGTCTGTCATCTTCTATTTTATGCCAAAGATAGGGCACAGTGTTTGTCATTGCACTCACACTGAAAAGGTGATATTGAAATGTGTGCAGAATAATGCTGGATCATGCCTGCTATTTGGGAAGAAATGTACAGTATCTCTTCTGCCCATGCTGATGTGCTGTTTCTGCCCCTTATCGTTTTTAACAACTTCTCAGGTTTTGCCTGAAAACATTTATGAGTTTTGCTTGAGAAAAACATTTCAAATATCTCTTTGTTGTGCCTTACACATGAATCTGTTGAAACAGAATCATAGGGTGCCGATGTTTTAGTTTGTATAGCAGTTGCTTCTTACTGGTGTGGCAGAAAAAAATCAGCTTAATTTCTGGAACAATAGGAACATGTTTTAAATGGTTTTATCTTGTTATAGGAGCCATTGGTTCTAATATTTATTTTAATATCATATGTCAATACATGTAACAAATACAGCTTGTTTGTTTACATATTTATTACCACTATGTTCCTGAGAGTCTATGTTGGATTTTTCTTAGGATGAATTGGTGAAACATATTACCTTTTTCTTGCTCTCTTTCAGGAGATTGCAAAAAATAATGTAGAATATAAACAAATCTTACACAGTATCATCATTTTACAGGGTGTCAACAGTAATTTACTGTGGGGATTTTCTTGTAACAAGAAGATGAAAGACAGATGTTTAATGAAGGAGTCGAGGAAAAAGAGTGACTCTTAGGAGAGTGGATAAAACAACTGCAAGAAGGGCAGGTGCTATTGCTGGATGGTTTCTATCAATAGACAAGTCTGTTTCAAGTGAGCTACATTGCAGGTAATACGAAGGCTGCTCCAAAAGTAATGCCTCCTATTTTATTATGTTGTTTCATGATGTCGCAAGCGGATGTTGGTATGGCAGCAGAGTTTGAACCTTTCCACCAATATTCTGCTCCATGTTGTTGCTGCGTGACAGATGGTAGCAGAGGGGCAGTCTGACAGAATGGAGTCTGACACTGAAGTGCATGTGAAGAAAAGGTGTGTCACTGAATTTCTCTGAGCAGAAAAAATGGCACCCGTTGATATTCATAGATGCTTGCTGAATGTTTTTGGAGGCCAACTAGTAGATGTGAGTACAGTGAGGCTGTGGACGATGCATCACAGCAGTGGTGACAGCAACAGTGGGTAGGAAAAAATTGAACCAACATCTATTTCTTTTGGTTTATGGTCAGTGAAAGAAAATGAAATAAAGGTTATCTGTGGGAAAGTGTGACCAGTTTGCAGAAGACTCAAATGCAAGGTTTTTCCTGTTTTTCCTGTTTTTTCTTTCACCGTTTTCTGAGTTTACTTTTTTCCCCACTTGCTGATACAGATACTTCAAAAATGTAGGGACAGACATATTCTGTGGTTCTCAAAAATTCTCAAGGGCAGCTAATGACACACTGAATCATCAGGAAGCTGCCCCAGAACTTTCCCCTTAGGCGCATGATTATAGTAAAAGTGGCTGTGTGATGTTTTACCTCTGTGGTTTCTGTGCTTGTTATTCAGAAGCTGAGCTTGCTTCTGTTACTCTTTTTTTCAGGTACAATCCAAGTTTCAGGTCTTGGATGTGCTATAATTGCAGAAGTCTTTCTAGGCAACCCGTGCATGACTTGAAAAGGGGGTTGTTTGGAAAAAGGGAGCAGAAATAGCACTGGAACAGGCTCCCCTGGGAAGTGATTGAATCACCATCCCTGGGTGTGTTTAAAAACTGTTTTGAAGTGGTGCTCAGGAACATGATTTAGCAGAGGGTTGTTAGATAGGGTAGTTTGGTTAGGTTGTGGTTGGACTCAGTGATCTTTAAGGTGTCTTCCAACCTGAGATCCAACTCTATGATTCTATGATTTTCATGACTTTTTTCAGTACTGGGACTTGCTGGAACCACAGTCTTGAGCAAACATGCTTTTCTTGTGAGCATAAAGTCATTAAGGTTGGAAAAGATCTCTAAGATCATCTAGTCCTACTGTCAACCTATTACCACCATGTCCACCATGTTTTTGTAAAATCAGACTATTCAAATAACAAAGTTCCAAAAGGAAAATAAAAATGATGCACCCTTGGGAAAATTCAGTGGTGGAGGTGGCAACTGATGATTGTATTAGGATTCCTCCTGAGAGTCCAAAGATCCTCACTCTCCTGTTCTCCCCAGCATGCCTTACTTTTCTATGGTAAGGCATGCCTCCTTATGCAGAGCATAGCCTCCTCTTATACCAAGCATCTGCCACAAAAAAAGCATCAGGGATATCCATCAGAGTGTGATGACAAAGTATCTAAGATACTAAACCAGAGGTGTTCAGGCAGAAGCCTTTCTCTAGCAACTAAAAGTAGAAAAATGGAAGTTCCTTCCAACTATGGAGTTCTTCTGATTTCCCATAACATAGATCTAGAATAGCGTGAAGATTCAGCAGCAGCACATTGTTTCCTTGCTAGGTCTAAGACTGCCAAGATTTTTGTGACAGAAAATAGTTCAATTTCCCAGGAAAACACAATCTGGTTTCTATGATAGCAGGAAGGAACTTTGAGGATACAACAGACGAGGTGTGGTTGCTTTGACTAAAAGCATTCAGCGTGATGCTTTAGGCATGAAAGTGCTTGGCAGTGATTCACCTGGAGCATTAGCCCACTTTAAGAAACATGCACAGCCTTCAGAGCCCCTACCTGTCTGGATGCAGATGATGAGGCTCTGAGGCATCAGCACTGCTTCTCAGACACACACCTCATAACCAGCAGTAGCTCTGGCACTGCAGTTGGCTTGTTTGATCTCTGCTTCTAGATGTCTTATGCCACATGCCATGTATTTCTGTGTCAAAACCACTCAGATCCCATACAGCAGGCTCATTCCTGGAAGCACATGTGATTACCAGCAGTCTTCCCACTAGTTCTTTGTAGTGTCTGGCTGGGTTTATGACAACGGCCCTCCTTCACAACAGGCTTTTGGAGCTCCTACAGGGCAGTTCTCCATGAGCCTGGAAATGCCCAGCACCTTCACCAGCAGAGGGTCTGTGTTATTTGTGGGAGATGCTACACACCTGGCTGCAGAGCAGGAGCCTGAATGACTGGGGAGAACATCTTTCCTGATAAAAGGAGCAAGAGGCAGAAGAGGCCTTGCAAGAGATACAGGATGAATGTGGAGCACAGCTGGATCAGATGACTCATGCTTCATGGCCAAGGTATGTCATGGCAAGGCATGTTTCAGTCACTCTTTGTGTCTGGTGCAACCCAAGTTTTGGATCCTGGACGTGCTGTAATTGTAGAAGTTTATCTAGGCAACACTAGGAATGGAACAGCTGAATGAAGATTGTCCAGTAGTGCTGATCTCCGAGGATTCTCAGGATTCCATGACAATGTGTGCTTCGTCACCTAACTGAGCACTCCCAGAGGAAGGAAATGGCACAAATAAGTTTGCAGAAGGATCAGAAAAAGATTTTTCTTACAGAAGTGCTACAAAAAATATAAGGCTGAGACAGATTATGGGGTTGCTTAATTAGGCTCCTAGATTGTGAACAAATTCAATTACAGTTATTCCCTTATAATGATTCTCAGCTGAAGAAGAGCCTTTACCTTAAGAATGTGCCCCATCCCTGGAGACATTCAAGGTCAGACTGGATGGTGCTTCGAGCAACTTCATCTAGCTGTAGGTGTCCCTGTTCAGTGCAACAGGGGTTGCAACCGTTAGGGGTCCCTTCCAACTCAAATGATTTAGTGATTCTGTGTTTCTATGACTGCATTTGAGGTTGGCTGGATTTTCCAAGAAAACCTCTGTGAAGTCAAAGAGTGTTTCCCCTGCCTTTTCTTTTTTCTTTTTTTTTTTTTTTTTTTCTTTTTTCTTTTTTCCTATGGAGTGAACCTCAAGCAGTGATTTTGCGTAATCAGAAAGTCTTCCAGTAAGGCTTGTGCACCTTTCTGTGCCCATGTGAGAAATGCACTGAGTGGCTACCAGTGTATGTGTTTCTTTGGGATTAACCCAACAGCATGGAACACGTGTGTGGGAGTCTTGGGGGTAGTGGTTGTGAACTGTAGGTGTGCCAAGTGTTTCAAATTCCTGGAGTGAGAACTGTTCTGCACAAATACGCTCTGACACATTCATTTTATGGATTGCAATGACTGATCATTTCTTAAATGAAGTATCAGTTTCACTCGCCAAATATAGTATGTAAATCTCTCTGCTTGGCAGCCTGAGTGTACTGAGTATGATTTTACTGGCATGTGTGGGTTGCTTGCTGCATTGTACTTAAAGAAAACTTTTGAGTATGGCTACCAGTTCTTATTTCTTTGCAATTGAATGGAAGACAGCTGGCGATTAAATAAAGAGTATCTTAAATTCCGTGCTTCTACACAAAGGCAAAATTTAGTATCAGTGAACTGGAGATGGCTAGTTCTTAGCAGAAAGGGAATTAGCTGTTTTAATTTTCAAAATGCTACCTGAAAAATCAAAGTAAAAACAAATGCAGGCAGCTGTAGTGGTGGAAGTACTGGCTGCCTGTAGTGTCTCTCTCATTTCCTCTCCTTTTTGATCCCTTTTTGTACTTCTGCAGAAGCTCTCCCCACCAGGCTTCTGCTTGGTGTTTAGTTACCATAGGCTCCCTGTTTATTCAGAGTAGAGAAGTAGCTGCCACCCAAGGGCAGTTCAGTTCATCTGGCTTTGGAATTGTCCCAGGGAGTGCCTCACTTTCTCCTTCTGTTGATGAAGCCTTATGATGACTGAATTCCCAGTCAGGCACACCATTAGGAAGGAGCTGAGAGGAGGATAGCTGTCCTCCATACCTGCTGACACTGCCTAACTTTCAAGAGCTCTTGCCAGCTCCTTGCCTTGGACAGTGGACTGGGAAACAGAATGTGAGCAATCTGGCAGCTCCTCCTCTGGCTGGGCAGCTGGGGCAGTTGCCATCTGCAATCATATTCCCTTGTCTTTGTGCTCAGAATTGTGGATAACCTCCAGAGAGGTTCATCATTGCAGAAATCATTGTGTAGACTTCAGATACAGCCTGCAGTGTCCATCACTGGTGCTTGTCTTGAGGAAATGCTGCAGAGGAGTCTATTTGGACATTAGCTAGAGAATTAACTTGGTCAAGTTGGCTTTCTTGAGTTAATCAAATTAAATGCTAAGAATGTGGTATGCATGACATCAGTTTTTGGTGTCACTTCTAGAAAGGGAGAGGGATGTCTTGCTGAGCAGGCTATGCTGGATTCTCTGTGTGCCAAGGTGCAGTAATTATGGTTGCATGCTAAAGATCTTTTGCAAATTCTCCTCTGCTTTCCTTTTTCTAGATCTGGAAGAAACAGCATCATGGAAACCAGTGGGTTTGGTGTGTACTACATTGCCGGACAAAGGACAAGAGAAAGAGTGATCATTGATACATCATCTGTGTCATTATCATTTATAT